CTGGAAGGAAGGTTCTCGTAATGCAGGTGTAGGGTGGTGTTTTTTGGATTCTCACTCTTCCCAGATTTTGGGGGGTGATGCTAGGGCTGGTATGGCTACTTCGGCGCTTCATTATGAGTTGCACGCCTGTCTTTGGGGTCTTAAGCATGCATGTCTACGTAAGTTCACGCGTATCAGTCTTTTCACTGACTGTTCGATTATCCCTCGACTCCTCATGGGCTAGGTTTCAGCAGATATTTCGGTCATTTGGATTGTTCAGGAAATCAGGGATATTTTATCCTCCATTTCTACCTGTCATATTCGTAAGGTGTCAAGATCTTTAGTAGCTGATGCTCATTCTCTTGCTGGGGCTGCTAGGCGTAGAGATTTACTTCATTTTATGTTTTAGTTTGTTTTATTTTTGATGTTCTCTTTGTCAAAAAAAAAAAAAAAAAAACTTTGAAAAACACTTTTTTAATTTTAAGCAATTTGGTTCAACTTAATTTTTTTTCCCGACCTTATTTTATTTAAACTTTAATTATCTTTACTTTTCATTATATCACAACTTATATGCGTGCCTATCAAAACTTAATATTGATTAAATTTGCCTAAGCTTATTTTGCATAAAATCAGACATGTCAATGTTTTATAATTAAACCGAAACAATCAACCTTCATAATTGATGAGAAAAAAAATAAAATAAAATAAAGCAAGTGCTTGTAAGTTGTATCATAACCAACACATTTTGCTCATCATGAAGATTTTATATAAAAATCTCATTAAACCGAAGAATAAAATCCTTACCCAGGGATGGATCTTGGTTATGGTGCGCAGAGGCTTGGGCTTCCTAAGTTTTTTTTTTAGTTGTTGATTATAAGTATTATGACGTCTATTAAATATTGTTAGTTAAGTACTGTTAATTTTGAGTAAAAGATTGGAGCACCAAACCTTAATCCCCCTAATTTATCAGCCCAAGATCTGCCATTGTCCTTATCGTACTCCAGACCTCCGGTCCTTCATATACACAATTTTTTGATCTAATTGATAAGAATTAAATAATAATGCACATTATCATGTATGGTTGGTATAAACAATAATGCACATTTGCATCTTGTGTTTAGTGAATCGCGAGAGGTAGGAACCGGGAGTCAAAGATATGTGTAGTATGTAATTGTATACATATACTAGCAGTAGTAGGCCATGGTCCATGCATGAACTGCGCAACTCCTCTGTACCACAATTAATTCAAAGTGCAGTTGGCAACAGAAAAAATTATGAACCAGAATTGTGATGGGAGCAATGGTAGGAAATGAGGGAGCAGCCAATTAATTTGAACCTTTTTTTCTATTTTTTTTATTATTATTTTTATTTTTTTATCGTTATTATTTATTTTTATATTGATTTCAACTACATACACTATTTACATAAATACTTATTGGAGCAATTTTAGAGAGCTGTACCACTTTAAGAAATTAAAATGTGTTATTTAAAATCAACTTCATTTGATTGATCTAAGACATCAAACGAATTAATACGTACAAACATAAGTACTTCCTATTTTTGGTTTTGTAACAAAAATAGAAAGTAAGTAGCATAGAGGAAATTGTTTGCCTAAGAGCATATTCTGTTCAGTTTAATTTCAGTTCAGTTCATTTTAGCTCTAATCATTTCAATTCAATTCAGTTTATTTTCTGATTTCCTTCTCTCATAAACAATTCATTCCAGCTTTGTTTAGTTCAGTTCAGTTCAGCCCCAATTAATTCAGTTTAGTTCAGTTCAGTTCAATTCAATTTAATTCAATTGACTTGTTTTCAGTCTATCTGAACATGCAGTGAGGATAAGAGGAATTTTACACAAAAATTTTATACAAGTTTATTTTGCATATCATACACCCTCAATCTTTTTATAAAATTTTAGCTACTTACTAAATTAGTTTCACCTAATACAATAACCACTATGTTTGTGAAGTTTAGTAAACATTTTATTTTAGGAAATGTAAGAAGTATTTTTGCGAATAAATTTCAATATATATTTTGCTTAAATTTATTACGTTGTTTAAATTTATCACAATTTTAGAAAGTGGTTCAATTGGAGATCAATGTAACCCTATAACAATAATAAAGTATCCATTGTAACACTAACTGAGTAACGCCTTTAACACTGATTGAGTAACTTTTTTGTAACATTGACTTATTAATCCCAATAACACTAACAAAGTATCCCTATGTTAGCTTTCCACACGGTATAGTCAGTCACTCAGAATTTGTTCATTACTTTTTTGAAAATAATTTATAATAGTTAATTAATGTAGAGTAATTTAGTATCAGCAAACAATTAAGGGTCTATTCAGTTCAGCTTAATTTTAATTCAGTTCAGCAGTTTAGCTCCAATTAATTCAGTTCAATTCCTAATTTCCTTCTCTGATAAAATATTCATTTCACTTTAGTTTAATCCAGCTCAGTTCAGTAAATGTGAACAAATCCCTTAAATTTGTATGAAAAAATGCAGTACATAATTGAAAATGAAAACTTTTAGTTTAAAAAATGGTGTTTTTTTTTTTTTTTTTTTTTTTTGGGCAAATTGAAAATTTAACAAATTCTATCATTTTATCTACTACGTACTTTGTATTTTGTTTTTTCTTTTTCATTTTATTTATTGACAAAAATAAAAGGTAAAAAGGAAAAAAAAAAATTGAGAAGGGGAGGATTTGTGGGGGCTATTAGGAGGCGACAAGCATGGGGTTGTCTTGTCAAATCAAGAAGCCCTTTTATTGGGCCATGACCCACTTTTCTTCTGCCCTTTTCCACATATTGCTCATCTTTGTCTTTCCCTCTTACGGCCTTATTTTCTTCCGTAACACCAACATTTTACTACCGATCGAGTACTAAGTTACTAACGTAACTACTCGTACTTGTCACTCTAGTTATGGTGTAGTTCATACGAAACTAATTTAATTTTAACAGCTTATTTGGTAGGCAATAATAAAAGAATAATATTAACTTCTCGAAAAGTTTACAAAATTAAGTAAATGTTCAATACTATAGAAATTTTCACATCAAATACAACGTGGTAATTTTTTTTTTAAGTGCTATTCGGTACTAATTTTAAAAGTAATAATAGATTGAGTTTATCAACATCGACACATAATGTTCCCTACAATATATTATCGTCTACTTATCATTATCACAGTTTATTACGACCTTTCTAATCGAGCCAAAAGTGTCTCTTCTTTCAGTATCTCCCTATAGGGTATACCCGTTGAGCAGTCATAATCTTCATGCATGATACATGCATAACATGTATAGGGTCAACTTCATTCCGCAGAAATTTTGCAAACGTGCGGGTCCTGGTACCACCGGCCTGTATTAAAACTTGTTCATGTATGTCTTATCACCAAGTAGCACAAAATCTCAACTACTTGTAAACTTAGTCAAGTTGCATCCATATTTGGCATGTCAATATGTTTGTATTCATCTAATAAGGAAAAGTAAGTCGAGGTAGCGTATAAATGATTATATACTTTTTTAATTATCGTGAAATCGTATGATCTTAAAGATTATGAGTTCGATACCTACCAGTAGCTCAAGATCGTCTCTATTATATGGTAATTGGAGAGTATGCTCTCAAGGGATAAAGAGTTTTTTTATATCTTCTTGAGAATGGATGGGATCTATAGTTATTGATCAACTTCTTTTGTTTCAAAGGTATGGAGTGAAGTGGACCACGTGATTGGACCCCAAATCTTTAATATGGACCAATAACAAAAAGTAAAAAAGTATGGAATTATCGGGCTTGTCAATGGGCTCTTAACCGTATGCTACATAATGGGCTTACTAATTGGATATGGGCTTTGCATAGTGGTTACGTATGCAAATTTTAAGATGCACCAGTGAGGTGCACCACGCTAATACTTTTGAACAATCAGTAAAAAAATCTGAACAAGTGCAAAATTTGAACATGTAGTAAAAACATCTGAATATCGCAAATTTTGAACATTTAGTTAAAAAAATCTGAACAATTGCAATGCATCATGCCTATACTTTTGAACATTTAGTAAAAGAAATCTGAACAATCAAGAATTTTGAACATTTAGTTAAAAAATCTGAACATCACAATTTTGAACATTTAGTAAAAAAATCTGAAAAATTGCAATGCACCACGCCTATAATTTTAAACTTTTAGTAAAAAAATATGAACAATAAAGTGAAGTTAGCTTTCTTTTCTAACTCTCACACCGGTTATTCAACAGCAGATAGGCTTAGAGCTCCTACGTACGAACTGGATATTGAACATTTAGTAAAAAAAACTGAACAATCGCAAATTTTGAATTATTACGAGTCAGATAAATTTTGAACTGACTCGTAATAATTCAATAGTTTTGTAATATAAACTGAACATTTAATGTATACAAAATGAACATTTCTTGATAAAATATGAACATAAAAATTGCATGTTTATGTTCAATTTTTGTGATGTGTTCATATTCTTTTTACTAAATGTTCATTTTTTGTAAAATATTCAAATTTTTACTAAATGTTCAAAAATATAGTCGTGGTGCACCATGGTGCACATAATACTAATTGGGCTACGGAACTTGTACAACAACTTGGCTTTTAGGCCTACCTTTACATAATGGGCCATGTCTAGCAGTAATTTCATTTCATGTGATGTTTTATAAGGCTAGAGCACATTTTTTTTTCACTTCCCCTCATATTGACCCACTTAATTTGTCCTAATGTACTCATTACTCAAGCCATTACAGATCTCATCACATAAGCCCGACTTTGATACCATGAATAATTAATAAGCACTAGATTTATTTACCATAGATCGGAGTATTCAGATCGGTTGTACACTATATTTATTTACTTTGGTCTAATTTGAAAAGATATCATCTTAAACACACTTAAGCAGAAGGGTTTTAGCTTATTATATATTGTTCACTTTCGAGTAAGGAATAATTAATAAAATACACTCATAATAACCATTAATACACATGGATTATTATTCTTATTGCAAGCATAAAAAGCTAGGGAATACTTCCCTCCTTTACAACTGGACAACTGATTACAAACCCATGACCAAAAGTCTAGAGGGGAGCTTCACAATTTATTCATGAACCACACATACATAACATAACATAAAATACAACATTACAAACTTTGCAAACAAGTACATTGAGACTTTAGCAAGCTGGCTCAAGTGTGTAGAATTGGGTCAGTGTACTCAGCTTTGTTTCCAGAATGCTGGTCTAGTTTGACTTCAACTACACGATTCATTTCATTTTGTACTTTCAAAGTCAAATGAACATGTTAGATTCGGGTCTGGGCCGCACCCATCACGAGAGAGTGCAAGAATACAAGTCCACCACTTCACAAGTCCAAGTAGGTTCCACCTCAAAACCATATGGCGACGAGGAGAGTAGCCCCTTAATCTTATATTGTGGTAGTAACTCTTTAATTTTTTCAATGTGGGATTCCATTATCACTACACTCCCTCTTTTGTATTTTAGTGTGGGATAAGAGAATGATCACATGTGGGTTGTTCCTGGGCTCAACAAAACATATGCAAATTTAACACAAAGTAATACGTTATGATACGTTACCTTGCCCGTTGGGCCATGAACAGCAACGATGAATTTACGATTACTAGCCTGATCACCGTCAGCATAGACGATTCCCCACTTGACACCTTCGGGAAGAGTCCCGGCCTGGCGCATTGCAGCACCAGTATTAACCGGGAGGCCAGGGAAGTTATTAAGTGTACGCCCGTGCCAAAAATGAGTCTCCACCTTATCCACGCGGTGTTTGCTGAAGTTTTTGACATCGGTTGTCAATTGATAATCGTCGCCGTCAGCACGTGTTTGCGTATCATATTCCTTGGCCTTAGCTTCCATGTCAATTTCCACATCCTCAACAGTCACTACTTCTGCTGTGACGTTCATAGCAGCCATGATTTCTTCCTTCTCTTATATATCTTAGCCTACAACATAGTGTAATAAGCTAAATAAATCAATTAATTTAAAAAACTCTCAGTAACATTCGAGCACAGACATGCAGTGTGTAACGTTCATACATTTCAAAACACAGTACTACTTCCGTTAATGGTTATCTGTAACTTTGGAATATTTTAACCTCTCAAATAATACCTCAAAGTTGCAGACAATCATTAACAGAGATAGTATAAAAAAAAAATGTTTTTAAGCATTTTTTGTAAGATTTATCTCAACGAAGCGTAAAACAAAATTAAAAGCATTACAGTCATCGCGAATTAAAGAATATAACATGTCATTTCTAGACAATATACAAATTATGTATCACTTTGTAATAAATAAAAATCTCCACAGTCTATACTCAATACTCTGTATCATATCGACTTGCTCCACACGGACAAATATCAAGTGTGGTGAAAATCAATGCTAATAGTGAAGAGTACAAGAGTAGATATTAAAAGCACAACTTTTCAAATCTAACAGAAAGATTATACGAGTACTTGGTATTGCCTTAGCACAAATACAAAGCAAATTTTAATGAAGAGGAAAAAAAAAGAGGGAGAAAGTGATTACCTTAAAATATTATCTATAATAATGCAGAAGAGTTTTCTTGAATTGTATTGTTAGAAAGTATGTAGTAAGAGCAAAATAATTTGCTAATTTATAGGCAAAAGATGAGATAAAGCATTCTTTTTTTTAATGAAATGATTGAACAAAGTAGCATTATCTAGAACTTCCACATGATAATTATGTATTATGCATGCATAGTTGTACATAAAACATTATAATTATTCTTCCAATATATTTATATATGTCTTGATTGTTGAAATTATTAGAGTTAACTACACGTCTACTATTCGCTCTAATAAGTAATAACCCTAAGTTTACTGCCAAAACACGTTATTCATGGAAACATATATAATACCTAAAGCAAGACCAATTAATATAAATTGGAAATGAGAAGGAAGAGTACAATAAGGTGAAAAAAATAATAGTAAATATAATAAAAAATAAACCGTATCTTTATTACATATCAACCCATCTTACACGTTAACTCAAGTTAGTTGATCCAAGGAATAAATATTTTACTTAAGCGTGATAGAGTGTAAAAACATAATCTTGAGCCCCAACCATCAAATTAAGCTTTTGGTTGAGTTGGTTTTTTAACATGGTATTAGAGCGTAATATAGACTTGACAAACAGGTCATTCAGGTCGGGTTCGGGTCGGGTCAAATTCGGGTTAGCAAATGTTCGGGTCAGCAAAAATTAGCTTTACAAAACCTATTTTATTTTAGGCAAAAGCTAACGAACGCCCTGGGGGTGTTGAATAAGCTAGCTAAAAGTAGAAAGATTAAATAAAAAATTAACATTAATTACACAAATTGATGCGTAATTTTGTCATACTTTCCCAAATTAATACTACCCTCGTTTCTTTTTAGTTGACACGTATTCCTTTTTAGGAAGTTTTTTTTTTAATTGACACGTTTCCTTTTGGGGTAACTTTTTTACCTTGCATTTACAAGCTATCCTACTTGCTTTTTCATTCTCTCTCACCCTCTCTCCTCTCGTTAATATATATGCATAAATCAAATGCGTCAACTAAATAGAAACGGAGGAAGTACTACTTTAGGTAATATTTTAAATGTTTATCCATCGCCCCGGGGAGTTTATTAGCAAGATTTTTGTTTTTTTTTTTAAAGTTATGTAGTATTTCTATAGTTAATCTTTTCACCGGATTTAAAATAAAAATTAATAAACCTTATCTCCAATATTCGCCAATCCTATTCAAAAAAAGATATCTCACGAATAATTTACTGATGGGATCATGGGAGTATTGGAGTATATATTATAGGTCGAGTACTATTGCAAAAAAAAAGATATTTTTATGCATTTAAGGTACAATCATTTATACCTATTGAAGAGAAAAATAGATTTAATATGAAGGATGTTGAGAACAGCAGAGAAATAGAGCAGGGAAAGTTTCAGTCTTTTTCCATTTCATTCTCATTCTAAATTCATGACTGCGTACATTACAATTATTCTCTTTATATACATCAGCACACCAATCCCTAGATGGATTACCCTAATACATAGAAAAAGGACAGCTGGCTGTCTCAACCAGTCAAAGAAAAAACAAAATAACAGAAGAAAACAAACTAAAGGGAAATATAAGGTGCAGGACAGAGAAGAAAGATAACCCCCTTTCATTACTCCTCCTCAAGCTAGGTGTGAGAGAATCGAACGCCAAGCTTGGGAAATAAGAGATGATGTTGAGAAATAGTGAGAGGCTTGGTGAATATGTCAGCCAATTGTTCTCCTGAAGGGGTGTATTGAGTTTTGATGCAACCTTCATTGATTTTGTCGTCTCTAATGAAGTGACAATCAACTTCAATATGTTTAGTCCTTTCGTGATGGACTGGATTGGCTGCTATGGATAAAGCTGCCTTGTTGTCACATTTCAAAATTGCAGGACCGAGATTCTTCAACCCCAAGTCTTTCAACAATTGAGTGAGCCAAGTCACTTCATAAGATGTAAGAGCCATGGCTCTATACTCTGCTTCAGCAAAGGATTTAGTAACTGTTGTCTGCTTCTTGGATTTCCATGAGACCGGTGAGGAGCCTAGTAGGACACAGAACCCAGTTGTCGATCTTCTTGACATAGGAAACCCTGCCCAGTCGCTGTCAGTGTAAGCTGTGAGGAGAGCAGCTGATTTAGAAGCTAATAAGACTCCTTGTCCAGGAGCATAATTGATATATCTCAAAACCCTTTTTGCAGCTTGCATGTGACTTGTAGTCGGTTTGTGCATGAACTGACTTAAAATGTGAACATCATAGGCTATGTCTGGTCTGGTAATGGTCAAGTATATGAGTTTCCCAACCAATCTTTGGTACTCAGTTGGTTCTGATAAAGGATCCCCCAGTTCTGGTGTCAATTTCGTGTGAGCTTCCATAGGTACTCTAACAGCCTTAGACTTATGCATACCATATTCCTTTATCAAGTCACGAGCATACTTCTTCTGAGACAGAAAAATACCTTGTTTTGTCATGTCTGCTTCTATGCCCAGAAAATACCTGAGAGCTCCCATGTCTTTCATGTGAAAGGTAGATGAAAGGAAGGCTTTAACTTGTTATATTGCTGTATGATCATTCCCTGCTATCAAAAGATCATCGACATAGACTAAGACAGTCACCAGACTCTCCCCCTCACTTCGAGTAAATAGTGAGTAATCTGTTTTGGGTTGACTAAATCCGTAGTCTTTCAAGGATGTGGATAGCTTAGAGAACCATTGCCTGGGTTCCTGCTTCAAGCCATACAGGGATTTTTTTTAATTTGCACACTAGTTGCTTCTTGTTTGTATTCTGGTGCTTCACAGTGCTGTTTACATGAATCCTACTATTCCATCCTGTGTAGCCTGCTGGGAGAGTCATGTACACATCTTCAATGAGATCTCCATGTAGAAAGACATTTTTGACATCCATTTGGCATACTTCCCAATTCTCCATAGCAGCTACAGCTAGAAGTGATCTTACAATTGTCATCTTGGCAACTGGAGCAAACGTTTCCTCGTAGTCTATTCCATATCTCTGTCTGCAACCCAATATCACAAGCTTTATTTCTTTCAACACTTCCATCTGGGTTGTACTTTGTTTTATACAACCATTTGCACCCTATGGCCTTTTTTCCACTTGGTAACTCAACCATCTCCCATGTGTCATTACTTTCCAGTGCTTACAGTTCCTCATTCATGGCAGCCACCCATTTTTCATTTTTAACTGCTTCTTTAAAATTCAGAGGGTCTTGAGTCTTCTCAGCTTGACTCAAATAGGCAGCAAATTCAGGTTTCACCAGTGTCATTGCAAAGTTCACCACTGGAGCAGCATTCACTTCAGTTTCACCTCTCTGTGTTTTGCTTCTTTTCACACTCACTCTGCGATCATATCCCATCAGCCACTTTGGTGATCTATGTGGCCTGGTTGATCTTCTCAAATGAGTTTCATGAGATTCAGGAGCAGTTTGCTGAGCAACGTGATTAGACTCTGAAGTGTATGCAGGTTCATCTGGAGTGTCTGGAATTGTTTCAGTGATGATCTCTTCACACTATTGGGGATCAGGATCTTCTGTCTCATGATTCACAACTGGATCATTTCCAGTTTCCTCATCATCAACCGATATTTGATCCACATCAGGTGCCAATTGACCACTCTCACGATCACCATCATGACTCAACTCATGCACTGAGATTGGCAAGGGTGTGTTGTAACTGCCTGTGCTATTGACTTTGTTAAATGGGAAAATATGTTCGTAGAATTTCACATCCCTAGACACAAAGCATTGCATATTCAGCAGATTCATCACCTTATAGCCCTTGGTATCTTGCGGATATCCCAAGAAAACACATGGTACACCTCTGGGCTTAAATTTGTCACCCATCAGATTTGGGTTATAAGCAACAGCAAGACAACAAAAATGCTTTCATACATGTATAATTTGGTTTCTCTCCAAAAATCAATTCATATGGAGTTTTATTTCCTCGCACTGAATTAGGTAACCTATTTATGATATAGGTTGCTGTTAACACACAATCACCCCAGTACCTCAGGGCTAAACCTGCTTGAAATCTTAAAGCCCTAGCCATTTCAAGCACATTTCTATGCTTTCTTTCAACTCTCCTCGTTCTGCTGCGGTCTGTCAACACAAGATTTTTGATGTATAATGCCCAGATTTCCAAAGTATTCTCTACACTTAGTATCATCAAATTCTAACGCATTATCAGACCTGATAATTTTTACAGTTGCATTGAATTGATTTTTTGCAAATAATATAAATTTCCTGACAGCACTGTAAGCTTCTGATTTTGATTTTAGTAGTTGAACCCAAGTGGCTCTAGAGTAATCATCGACAATAGTGAGAAAATATTTATAATTTCCTCGAGCAGCTACCCTATATGGCCCCCAGATATCAATATGTATCAATTCAAACACAGATTTGGCACAAGCATCACTCACAGAATAGGGAAGTTTAGTAAATCTAGCCATTGGACAGATTAAGCAAACAGAGTTGTTCTTACATTTTCCTGAGACACACCCAATTTTAACAAGTTTCTCAAATGGAGCATGCCCCAGCCTGTTATGCCACAAAGTACATTGATCTACACTAGCTACATTACATTCAGCAAACTTCCTTTTTACAGAATCACCAGTTCTTCTTTCAGTCTTCAATGTCTTTAAGCTATTATTTCTTTTCACCTCTGCATTCTTCTTCTTATTTTCAAGATCAAGATCATCATTCATCAGATAGTATAGTCCATGGCTAGCTCTCCCAAGTGCCCTAGTTTTCAGAGTGACAGAGTCCTGAATAACACACAATTCAGGTTGGAATTTAACAATACACTTTTCATCTCTCACCAGTTTATGTATTGACAAGAGATTGTGCTTAAATTCAGGTACACACATCACATTTTTAAGATGCAGGCCATTTTTTAACAGAACAATGCCTATGTGAGTTATTTTTGCAGTCCCACCATTTGGCAAATTAATTTTTGTGTTTCCTTTCACAGGCGCAGATTCATCAAGTAATTTATCATTAGAAATCATATGATCACTTTCCCCTGAGTCCAATATCCATTCATTCATATTACTAGAGGCATTATTACAAGTAATCATACCTGCAAATCCAGACTCTATCTCTTCTTCAGTGTCATATGCCTGTCTTAGAGCTTGATGGCACCAGTTTTAGTAACTGCTCCAACTGCTGTGCTGAGATAGATACACTCTCTTCCTGAGTCTGAGCATTAGCTGCAGTTTTCTGACCATTGAATGGTTTTCTTTTGTTCCATTTTGCTCCTGTGTTACCTTCCTTTCCTTTCTGCTTCTGCTGTTTTTTGTACCGAGGATGCCATGAAGGATATCCTATCACCTTCCAGCATTGTTCAGCAGTGTGAGATTTGTTACCACACACTGAACAACCTACCTCATTTCCTCCTTTCCCATACATAGCAGTAGGTGGTTCAGGGTCTGGTTTTCCTCCTCCCTTTAGGGTTTCACGTTAAGATTCTTCTTGCTGCAGTTGGGCACAAGCAAGTTCTACAGTTGGCAGAGGGGATTGCATAAGAATCTGACTTCTCAATGCAGCATAGTCTTCATCCAGACCATTGAGAAACTGAAAGAAATGTTGTTCATCTTTCTGCTGATTGAGGGCACTTATGAAAACATTCACCTCACTGTTCATCTCAGTTATTGGTGGCAGTAAGTTCAACCCTTCAATCTCCTCCCAGAGAGAACTCATCTCAGTATAATAGTCACTTAGACTTCAACCATTCTGTTTCAGGTCATAGACATCTCTGCACAACTTGTATTTTCTAGCTCCATTGGTCTGAGAAAATCTGATCTCCAGGTTCTTCCACACATCTCTAGCAGTGTTCAAGAATAACACAGACCTTTTGATGGAGTCACTCATGCATGACATCAACCAAGCAATCACCATATTGTTGCAGGTATCCCACTGATCTGCTTTCACTTCATCTTCAACATCCTTCTTCACCAATCCAGTTACAAATCCCAACTTTCTCTTAGAGGCCAGCACTATCTCCATATATCTTCTCCACTCTCTGTAGTTTGCAGCTCCAGTCAGCTTATCAACAGATACCGAGTTATGACCATCACAAGGATGCAGATACAGAGGATTCTGCATATCCGCAAGAGAGATCTTCGACATCTTGAGGAACAAAAGCTAAAAGCTTGAAGATTTGAGAAGGAAAGAAGGGAGGAAGCAAAAAGACCGAGACTTTAAGGGAAAACTGGAAAAAATGTGAGAAATCTTTGCCAAAATCAGTAACCCGGCTCTGATACCATGAAGAGAAAAATAGATTTAATATGAAGGATGTTGAGAACAGCAGAGAAATAGAGCAGGGAAAGTTTCAGTCTTTTTCCATTTCATTCTCATTCTAAATTCATGACTGCGTACATTACAATTATTCTCTTTATATACATCAGCACACCAATCCCTAGATGGATTACCCTAATACATGGAAAAAGGACAGCTGGTTGTCTCAACCAGTCAAAGAAAAAACAAAATAACAGAAGAAAACAAACTAAAGGGAAATATAAGGTGCAGGACAAAGAAGAAAGATAACCCCCTTTCATCACCTATGGATTAAAACAATTCAAAAGATGGTACTACTCGTACGGAGAAAGATTTTCGGATATTGTTATTTAGGTTTAGAACAATTCTCCACGTCACTGCTCATCGATCCAAAAAAACGCGAGCCTATGTTTTGGACCACACACATAGTCACATTTAATCCATCTACATTTTTTTTCTCAAAAAAAAATAAATAAATAAAAAAAATCCAGCTACATTTTTTTTGAGAGAATATTCCGTCCATCTACATTATCTTTAGAAGACGAGTCAATAAAAGTTAAATACAAAGTTATTTTTTTTTTTACAAAACCGCAGCATAGCATATTATTAATTCATCAAAGTTTCAGAATCATTACATAAAACCCCCTGAATTTTAGGAGGGTACTCTTCAAGCCAAACACGAAAATTACTAAAATTAAAACTTAACTTTGCTAAGCTATGTGCGACTACGTTACCCGATCTTCTAACAAAAGAAAAATCACAACTTCGGCAGCTACGAGCAAACAACAGGATATCCCGCACCAAGTTACCAAAAGCACAGGGAGAAATATAGCCCTTCTTCATGTGGTGGAAAAGCTTCAAGTTATCAGTTTCGAGGATAAACTTCCTGAAACCCGCTTCCATAGCTATTTTAAGGCTAGATCTCATAGCAAATGCTTCCCCAATATCGACACTAAAATTCCTAGCTTCTGTCGAACAATAGGCCACAACAACATCCCCTGCTACATCCCGTAAAATCCCACCAATTCCCACCACACTACCCTGGAAGGCTGCGTCTGTATTCAGTTTGTACAGACCAGCAGCAGGAGCCTTCCAGCGTGAACTGAGTTGTTGCATATACGTCACATTAGACTTCGTACTAGCTTCAGCAAACTCTCCCACCAAGCTCACTGATTTGTGAAGTAAATCAGCCTCCCTCTTGTCTTTTTTGTCAAACACCCAAGC